TAAGATTGGTTTAATAATGTTTTATTCAAAAATGCAAATCTAACACAAGAACTATAACTATGATATTGGAAAAAAAATACTGCCGTAAAACATGGGCATCAAGTTTAACGAAATATCTGTGCGCGTGATAACATAATAAATATAATATGCATAATTTTATAATTTAAATAAATTGACAATTCTTTTTTCCAGGAATTTTAGTGTAAGGAAGTACCAGTAATTTTGAAGGTTGGTACTGGGATAAAAATTCAATCATCTCGCAACGCTGCTCCGTCCTCTTCCTCTGAGTAAACCACTCGCAATATAACTCGTCAGGTACCCTGGATTGAGAGGGATATCCTCAATATCTCTCATATATATAGCACTGCGATCTAACTGGCGCAAAGTGTTGCGAGTTGCTTAATCTCTAGCATCTACAGTAGCGTACACCAAGGGCGGAGAAATTACGTCAGAGCCCCGTTCACCCCGACACGTGCCCGGAGAAACGGGGAGAGCAGGGGGAAGGGAGGGGCAGATGGCGGTCGCCGGTAACGAAACCCAGTAGACATTTGCCGATGTTTAAGGGAACATGAGTGGGATACCTTATACACCAGCTAATTTACTTTCGGTTTGAGAAGCAAGGTTTCTTTTTGTAGATATAGTAAACAATGGCGAAGTGTTTAGTGTATTAAAAAGAACTTCAGTATGTTAAAGAGTTCAACCGACAGGGGAATTACGCAGCTTTGCACCTCAGAGAAACCCGCGAGATGAAAATAATTTCTAAGAATCTACAAATAGCCTGCAATTTTGAGAAGAGGAAAGGATTTTGCAGGTAGAAAATTATAATCAATTGCAACTGATACGCAAGCACTTGCATCATACGCACTTCGGCTTCAGCGTAGAACTATGCTCCTCGCAGAAACGTAAACGACTCCATCATTGTCATCTCTGTCATCTCTGACACAGTCGTTCTACAATGGGACGACTGTATCAATACTATCCACTCTAGGCAGACACCCCGCGTACGAATAAGATACCCCTGCTGCTCGTGCTTCGCCAATTAAGGCTTCAAGCATCAGCTAGAGCGCTCAAGAGGCCTTCTTTGGTCTTCAAATTTGAATCATTTGTAAGCATCAGTCGTCACCTGGCCGAGTTTACTACGGACAACGCGTACTGGCATCTCCAGTCGCAACCCAGACCGAACCTGCCAGCTACCCAGATCGAGTTGCTGGGGCCAACCTCCGCTCTCTGACGGTAACGCCACACTCGGCCCTCAGATGTGGGTCGGTGTTTGCAGTACATCCACGAACTGTTTGTAAGCGTGAACAAATCCCAAGAAAGAATAATAATTATAAACATTGTAAACTCATTTGGTCCTTCAATTCACAACATTCTCAAAGAAATTAAGCATTGTCTTGTATGTAATGAACATTAAATATAGATTAATTTATCATTGTATACTGACTTTCATTCACCCTAAAAGGAAATAATTGCCCGAAGCTCACTCTCATCCTGTATGTTTTCGCACTCGCAGCATGGCAGCTTCAACGAAGTTGCATTTGATACAGGGTGTTTGTAATATAATAATTTTTTTTAATATTACATATTCAACAGGTACGCAACTCGTCCATTTTTGGGAATAGATAGTGAATAAATAAATATTAAATAAAATACTTGTATCGAATAAAATTTTTTTCTCAGTGTATTCTTTCTTATTGTACGTAATTGCTGTCACTCTAAAGAATAAAGTGGTAAATTTCATGTAATTACCGGAAAAAAGTGTACAGTATTTATTTAGCGTTCACTAATTTACTCTCACTCAAATGACCTTTTCTAAAATTCTTCCAGAATATCCTATAGAGGAAAGAATTGTGGCTACTTCTTCGTCTGAGTTTTGAATCTGGCCGCGCCATACCACGCACTGAGAACGTTCGCTGCGGCAGAGGGCAGCCGGGGAGACGGAGAGCCGCCGAGCTTGGCAGTGGCGGGGCGAGTCGTAGGGGGGCTGCTGGTGCAGTCCGCCAGCGTACGTGTGAACGCGCGAGTGACCTCGCTGCGGAGGAGCGTCCGGGAGTCGCACGAGCATGAACGCGAGCATACTCGCACTACGTCATACGGCCGGCAGCGCGAAGCACATCGTACTGGAGAGAGGCACGGCGCTACGTGTGACTCTTGACGACGGCGCTGCACCCCGCCGAGGGAGCCCTGGATCGTACCGCCCAGCCCGAGCACGCGGAACGCTGGAAAGAGTCGACTCGTAGTGGTGAAAAAGCATTAAGAAATTGTAACGAAATTATTAATAAATAGTTGTTAAGCTGAATTTTATTGATTGATTGTTTAGAGATTCCGGGCACGACAACTATCAGGGTCATTAGTCCTGTAAGTGTATTGCATGGGAGAAACCTGATTAAGGATAACCTGGCTTGCCGATGGCAGGTCTGCGACGAATCGACGGAAACATCACAGCCACTACAAAAAACATTCACTACACTCACGGGACCAATGACCCTACCAGTTGTTTTATTATCTTATTGCCTGCCAGTTGCCTGTCCAGTTGCCTTGCCAGTTATCGCCAATGTGATTAAAAACTTTCTATAATATGAATGGATGAAAACCTGATCGGTATAAGTGGCATTTTATAAAGTCTGAGATGAACATGTTTATTTTAGGCTATATTTCAGTGGCAATGTATTTTCATAGTTTAATGAACAATATCGTAGTTTTAATCGTAAAATGAAGCACCACGACTTTACAGTAGTATTGACTTCAATATACAGATTTCTCTTAAATTATAAAATGCAACTTACACCGTTTTGGTTTTCACCCACTCAGATAAAGAATTATGTTCTAACGATTCACGTTAAGCGGGAAGTAGGGAACAGAAATCGACCGCGCTTCAGCTTTCAGAAGAGTTCTTAAAACACACAAAGTAAGTTTTTCTTCCATAATATTCTGAATCATTTCAGATAGAAATAGAGTCCATTTGTTCGCCTTTTCTACAGCAATAGAATATGTTGACCTCCGTATGTGGCTTTTAAATAATACAAAACACACATTCAGTTCTTTACCTCTCCCAAAAGTTTTTTGAAATTTCATTACAATGTGGGTTTCAATTATCAAATTTACAAGATCGCAGTTTACAATCTTCGTGTCGTCGAATAATACTCTCAAAAAGTTTTAAGTTACAAAAGTTTTAAGATAAAGAGATTTGGAAACAAAATACGGCGCTCCGGTCGGCAACGACTATATAAGCAGAGTCTGGTACAATTGTTAGATTGGTTACTGCTGTTATAATGGCAGGTTATTAAGATTTAAGTGAGTTTGAACATGGTGTTATAGTCGGCGCAAGAGAGATTGGGAGTAGCACCGCAGAGGTCGCGATGAAATTTTGATTTTCCCATACGACCATTTCACGAGTGTACCGTTAATATCGGAAATCCGGTGAAACATGAAACATTCGGCATCGCCACGGCCGCAAAAAGATCGTGCAAGATCGGGACCGGCGGCGACTGAAGAGAATCATTACACGAGATATAAGTGCAACCCTGCCGCAAATTGCTGCAGATTTCAATGCTGGGCCATGAAGTGTCAGCGTTCAAACCATTTAATGAGTCATTATTGTTATGGGGTTTAGAATCAGAAGGCCCACTCGTGTAGAAGGCCCACTCTTGATCCGAGCTGCGCGGCACAAAGCTTTACACCTCGTCTGGACCCATCGACATTGGATTGTTGATGACTGGAAAAATGTTGTTCGGTCTGACGAGTCTCGTTTCACATTGTTTCAACCTTATTAACAAGGCGACAACCTCATGAATCCATGGAACCTGCATGTCAATAGGGCACTGTTCAATCTTGTGGAGGCTCTATGATGGTATGTGTCGTGTGCGGTGATATGGGACCCCCGATACGTCTAAATACGACTGACAGGTAACACGTACGTAAGCATCCTCTCTGCTCACCTGCTCCAATTTATGTCCATTGTGCATCCCGACGGACATGGGCATTTTCAGACGGACAAAACGACAGCCTACATGTCCAGAATTGTTACTGAGTGGCTCCAAGAACACACTTCTGAATTTAAACACTTCCAATGGCCAACAAAATCCCCAGATATTAACATTATTGAGCATATCTGGGATGCCTTGCAACGTGCTGTACCAAGGAGATCTCTACCCCCTCGTACTCCCCCCGTACTACCCACGAGTGTATGGACTGCCCTGCAGGATTCATGGTGTTCATGGTTCAATTACCTCCAGCACTACTGCACAACGACATTAGTCGAGTCCATACCATGTCGTGTTGCAGCACTTCTGCGTTCTCGACGGTAACCTACGCGATATTAGGCCAGGTTTTCTTCGATTTTCAGTATATAATGCAATAATTTATTATATATCAGAGATTTTTTTGTGGGATCATTATCTTCATAGATATATAGAACTGTAGGATTTCCACTTAGGGGTTGGTTGTGGTAAGAATACCTCAGAATAATTTATAGCGTTTTTTGTTGTATGTTGAAAAGTGACATGGAGGTGGAATTGACTTAGTCGTTTGGGTTCCGTGTAGATACAATTTATTGTAATTTCAGATAATCTCTTTTTTTACTTTTATCTTTACATAGATAATATGTAGAATAACATTTCTCTCTTGATAGTTATACTTTTGTATACTTTATGTAAAAATAAACAAATTTACATCCGCAATAGTAAAAATGGCGGTAATGAAAACTGATTATCTGTAATTACGTATCCGAAATATTTACGCTTATCTTATAATGTTGCTAAGAGCTATCATTTATTCTAATATAATATACGTGTGGTGTAGTATAATATTTTTATAATGTGCAGTATATGCAGTGTGTATTACATTTTGTAAAATATCTAAGTTTGCTATTTAATCTGATCATGAACAATAAAAGAATCCGAAACTCCAAATAATTGCTTTTACATCTATGTCGTTGAATACGCTTACGATATCCGAGAGATATGTTAAGGCCTCCATAAAAATAAATATAAACTAGAAAAATGGAAATAAAAATTTGTTTTTATTCAATGTAAATATATTTATTAATGTATGTACAGAGTGTCTAGATTTAAGAATGAAAAATGTATAGTAAAATTGTGTATTGTACGTAAATTGTTGAGATGTACTTTTAGTAGATGTAGTAGAGTTAGAAATATAAGTATAAAATGTTGTAAATTAGTTAATATTAAGATACGAGAGTGAGAGGTTGCATGCCCAAAAGCATTAAAAATAAAAACATGCAAACCCCAAAAATGCAGAACTGCTTAGCCGAAAGAAAATATTTTTTTAAAAACTCGCTTCCACACCTATACACCTCACAAAACATATAAATGCACGCTAATAACTTTTCCTAAGGATATTAATATATAAAAGATGATTGTAATTATCACTTCATCCTGACAATAAACGATTTGGCAATCCTTTCCCCTCCATTGAAAGTGAAACGGTAGATACGAGATGCCAAAATTTTCAAGCAATTCTGAAATTGTCAGCACAAGCAATGTAAAGAAGGTCGTTATAACACGATCAAAATAAACATTCGGAAGGTTCCTAAATCCGCTCAGCTTTTTGTTTCTGTAAGCAACTTTATTATCAAGTGAAATATAAATAATGATTATCACTAAGATAATTCAAAACTCCATAAGCAGCTTAAGGTCGCAAATAACTGAAAACTGTGTGCCCTTGTGCAAAGAAGATATTTTCTTCTAACTTCTTCGTGTCTTCGAAACAGCGATAAGAATTTCTAAAGAACGAGAAAGAAAGAAGACAGCACAAAGAAAGACATTACTCTAAGGTCAGGATAAAACGCTTTTGTGTGTTTTGAAACAAAACCATCTTAAAGATTAAAATGCGCAACACTTTAAAACGACATAATTTAAGTTTTTCAATTATACCTTCCTGAAGTTTTCAAGTAAAAACGAACTCCAAAAGAAATGATTTTATTGAAAAACTGTACTTGAGCTAAAGAAGAGGTAGACTTACAACAACTTCAGTAAGAATAGTTCATTTTAACGATGGCAGCTCTTCCGCCACCATATTAAATTATCTACTGAATTATAAATGTATTTTTATAAGCCTTCTGGACTACTAAGAGAAGCATAATCCATACAAAGTCACAAAACCGTTTCATTTACAAAATATTGGAGCTGCATGTAATTGCCCTATAAAACCAGTACTATTTCTTCATAACTTAGCATAATGATTCTTGTAACTCAGTGCCAAATCCATAATACCTAGACACTGTACGCCACAGTAACATGTTCTCACCAAACGAACTGCACCTGTCATGAAACATTTCTACTTGGGTATTTATTTCTTGGCGCGTGAGCGCCTGACTTCACGATCGAGTATCTCACGGCGTATTTCTCTGATGTGCCGCTAGATGTGGCATGATTGCGACCGTATCGAGCAGTTTTGGCGGTTAAAGCTAAATGTCCCGACACTAGTACAATTTGTAGCCACCACGTGGCAGCACCAAAAATAAGTAAAATTTACTTTACCGATAACGTCTGAACCAATGGTCCGATTTTCGATCTGTAAATTGAAATTTTTCTCCGCTTTACACTTCCAGCTCCACGTCCACGTGTCTACTACGTCTGTTTATCCCCGAGCCACCTCATTCTTATAGTTGGGGGCTGACTCGATTGCGAGGCTGAGGAAGGCGCTCAATGTTTTTGGAAGCTGCCCTCCCCTCGCCTAACCTGCAACTTCTAGCTGTCCCAAATATATTACGCCAAGTATCCATAGGCAAGAATTAAAACATCATACGAGAATAAGAAAAACTAATAAGAATCAGTGGATGTAATCAATGTGGAATTTTTTATCTTCACAATATGACCTTTTCTTACCGGGAGTACTCTGCCCAGCTGCCCAGCCAGTTTCAAATTCTTGTTTTTTAATTGATGTCACAGATCGAATAGATACTTCAATATAGTTTACTACCCGAGAATTGCTGTTATGCAGCGTGTGTTATGCAGCGAACGCCCGAATTCTTTCTTTGTTGCATTTCTTAATAACGATACGTATATTTTTACTAGCTTAACTGTGTATTGTTTGGCCTTTACTACGAACAGAAGCCTTTACTACGCACAGAATCCACCTAAGGTCACAAACCAAATTTAAATGAATACGCTATACATTTGTGTTACGAACAAGAAGCAAACAACATGTCACTCAGTCATTGAGTTAATTTCTTCTCAGAACAAGAAACATTCTATATTAGATGAAGTGATTATAATTTACTTTTAGTTTACGAGATAAAACTTTCCCCAATGTCACCAGTAATTGCAGCTCGCGTCATTAAAATTCCAGTCTCCTCCTCATCGCTTCGCCTCTCCCTGAAGCGGTGCCGTGGGAGACGCCAGTTTTGGGCAGAACCTGCGGTCGCTTCTGTTGACATACGAGGGTCTCTGTGTTATCGCCTTCCGCTTACCGAGTTCGGAGATGTGTCACAGCAGGAGCGGATTCACCCAATTATTTTTCGGGAGGTGTATATTTTTGTATACATATATTTATGTAAATAATAAATGTATTTGTTATTATATTTTATATTATTTAGAGATTCACCGGGTGAACTCTTTAAAGCAGATAAACGTATTTTTGAGATCAAAAATCGAGTTGATAAAAGAGCTCGTGCGTACACTACGCTCATTCTTTCCGGTATTTGACAACGGAAGATCTTAGAGCAAGGTGGAATGATAACAGTAGTAAATTATATCTAAAATAAGATGTGAGAAGATGGAATAATAGTGATATTTACAGAATTAGCTTAATTTTTTTAAAACCAGTTCCAAATCAGACACGATATTTTGGGTAATTGCCGTCAAACAATTTTATAGATGGTAATTCAAAGGAAGACCAGAATATGTTGAACAACGATAGTCATGTACTTAACTAATTTACAAACCGTTTACCTCGGGGTCTGTAATAGTAGTTATTTAGAATCTCTAGTTTGAGATCCGTGAAATATAGATTGAGATGCAAAGTGGCGAACGCATAAACCGGAGTGTGTGGCTTGGCGTGTCCGGCTAGCTCGCCTCCTCCGTCGGGGCTTGGCCGTCACGCCGCCGGGCCTGACCGTGGCCCGCCGCGTGACAGAGGGCCCACCACGGCGGGTGGTGACAGCCAACACGGCGGAGAAGGGGAAGAAGGGCACGAGTTGTCTTTCGTAAATTTCACTTAACGCGCCTCCTTTCGTCTGATTTGCATGATCTGTCACGGCGTTGAATTCAGGAAGCTGTCCGCCATGCGCGCTATAAGCCCATTTTTTAATTTGTTTCGGAAAGTTTAAGAACTATTTCGAATTCCGCCGTTTTGCAACATTTTCTTGGCAGAAACAGGATATCGTAGCGTAAAATTCTATTTAAAAAGGATCAAATGCCGTTTAAGATCGAAAATAGAACGATTGGTTCAGACGTAATCCAGTAAGTAAATTCCCATCTGTGAATAGTAGCTGCGATCTATTGGAATTTTCCCTACCAAGTTATTTTTTCGGGTGCATTTAGCCTTACGTGAAAGAACGCGAGATATTCCTGGTGACGAAACCTGCGCCTCATGCGCTATAGAAATAAAATCTCAAGTATACGATTTAAAGAACAAATTAATTAATGCCGTGGATCACATACACATTTAAGCAAAAATAAGAAATATTAAAATGCATAATAGAAATAATTGATGTTGTGGCAATTTAAATATTTTTAAATTTAAAAGTGAAATAAAATTTAAAGGATAAGACAGTTAAACTGACAATAGATATACCGAATAAGGGGGTGAAAAGTGTTCCCCAAAGCCCAAATCGATAAATCGCGACCTTTATGAAACATAGAAATAAAAATTGTGCGTAGATTCCCAACAAATAGCTTTCATGAGGCAATCTGTAACAGCTTTCTATTGCACGCTGAAAAAAATTGGATATGGCCGCAAACTAACGCCACAGTACAATATCCCGGGCCGGGGATATAGGGGAGTGCTGGGATACACCAATTTTGGGCTCAGAGAGGTTTATTAATGCACACCTGGCATGTGTAGTCCACGTTGCTTTTAAGAACTTTCAAAACTACTTTTTCTATACCTCTACTGTTCATCAAAAATGGTTTTTCCACCTACAAACATTTGGAATTACACCCAACGAGGTAGTTTGCACGACATTGTTTTTGATTACACGAAATCAGGATGCGGTAACTATGCGTAATGTAGCGCGGCATGGCAGGCGAACAATCCGGTCTCAAGGCCTCCGCTGGACCTAGTCTACGAAGATGGCGTTCCGATCGGAGTTGCTCCTTGAGGGAAAGGCCGAGGCGGGGGGGCGAAGGGAGTGACGGATCGCTTCGGCACTGCCACCTGCCCTCCTCGCGGCAACCTCTCGCACGTCGCAGCAACTTCCGCTGCGTGTCAGCGCGGCAGGCCGCGATGCAGAACCCACTTCCACCGGCTGGCCCGGGTGACCGCCACTGAGCCAACCACACGCTCCAGAGGCGCGCTCTTCTCCACGTCGGATCCCGACACGTAGCCCTCTGCCGCCTGCATGTGCTTTCGTATTTTGAGTAATTCTTTGGACTGTTTAGAAATTTTGTGTTTGCATTAAAGGGAAATAATTAATGCAGGATTTGAAGTTTTTGATAAAAATTAAATCCTTTTAGAACCGGCTAAATTTCGGATAAAAGTTTTTGTATAAAACTGTTTTGTATTTTATTTTGTTCCATAATTTAATAATGTATAGAGAAAAAATTTAAACCATGGAATTTTATGTAAATCATGACTATTTAATTATCAATACTAGGTAGAAATCGTTTTTATTTATATTTTGGTTACAAAGAAATGTCTGTAACGGAATTTTCCATTAATTACGAACCGGGTTTTTAATTTCTATAACATCTAAATATGTTATCTTTTACCTTACTGATCAACCTATTTTAGACTTATAATCGGGGGCCTTGATGGCCTGGAGGCCTCGGGCATATTAATAAAGGCGTATTATTATTATTATTAATTATTGTCTTACTTATTTCACAGTATCTAGTGGTCGATGTCAATCACACACAGGTATGATGACCAGGTGTGTGGTTGCTTTACTGAAGGTTCAGATGGCTTCTAGAAATACGGCATGTATTCAAAATTACTGATTTTGCATATTATATACATTCCTTGGTATCCAAGTGGGAGACACTTCAGTGCCGAGT